TTTTAAACTAAGCTTTTTAAACTTTTTAAAATTTTTTTGATTAACAAAAATCTTTACAAATGAAAATTGATTTATAATAATAATATTTATAAATGATTTATAATAATAATATTTATAAATATTAAATTAACGTGACAGCTGAGCTTGAATTTGGGAAACTAATACATCAATGTTTGGATTAATTCCACTGATACAAAGACGTAAAGAATTTTCTAAATTAACGTCAGTCAGCCTTGTACGATGTTTTGATTTATTAACTTTCGTCATTGAAAAGAGCTGTTCGCATTTATAAGTACTGCTAAACACACAAACCAATCTTCTTGCGAATTTTCTAAGCTGCGGAAAATGGTCTTCTTCGAGGTATTTTTTGTAGAAATCGCACAATTCCACGTCTTTAAATTTAGATTTGAAAAGTAAACTTTCTTAAAAAAGTAAATTTTCTTGAAAAAGTAAATTTTCTTGAAAAAGTAAATTTTCTTGGTTAACTCCATTTGCAAGTGCATAGGAGCATTTTGTATATTACTTTTTTGTTGGAGTAGCAAATAAATTAAAACAGTTTTCAATGTTCTTAAAATTGCTAAATCTGTTTGAAAATTGCTCCGACAGTAACTTGAGTTCTTCAGCATATTGAGCAAAAGCAATATTTTCATACCGAGAGAGCGTAGCGAAATGGTAGCTGTTACCAGATAGCATCAGTTCCTCCAACAAGCGGATTTTTTTCTAAATTGCTTTCAAATGTCTGTACAAATTTTATTAACTGACCTTTGAAGTTTCAAAATTAAATCATTTAAATAGCCTGTAAGGTTGATCAGAAATGGTAGTCACATATCCATTTTAGGTCACTCAATTCAGATAGTGGTTTGTCTTTTATTTGCATAAAATCTGCAATCTCATTTCTTATCTCATAAAAGCGTTTCCCTTTGCTTAGCCATCTGACTTCACAATAATATGTTACGTTCTCATATTGGGTTGATAGTTCAAAAACGCCTTAAACTGACGATGATTAAGCAACATTATTGTGTTTTTTGTTTAACAAAAGTTTGCTGCTGTTTTTTCAAATTCGCGGTAAGTTTTTGGATTTTCTCTTTTCTTGTTTGACCAGTCAGTGAGTGAAGCGTAGGATGCTTAGTTGAGTAATGGCTTTATATATTAAATTCTTTCATCACTGAAATTGATTCATTACAAAGCAAACAAATAAGCTTATCATTCTGCAAAAAAAAACAAATTCTTCAGTCCGTTTTTCTTGAAACTGGCGACCCTCTCTATCTACTTTTTTTTTATTTTATTTAGGTGCCCCAAGAAGTCCTAGCGGTCTTATCAAAGAGAACCACGGTTGAGCATTTAATTGAAATTTCATGCCTCCTTCCTAATCAATGTCGCAAAATTTGCCCATAGGTGAGGTTTGAACCACGGATCCTTTGTTTCTGAGGCAAATGCACTATCACTGCACCACGGCTGCTCAAACTTTTCTTTTCTTTCCACCAGACATAATTTTCGTTTACTTTTCGTTCGGTAAACTTAACTCATTCCCTACCAGCAGTTTTAACAAAGCTTCGCGCACATTTTTTTAGAATTTGGATCACACAACATTGCAAAGTAATTGAAACTCAAATAGTAAATCTCTTTAAAAGTATAACAAACTATATATAGATCGAAAGCTAAATAAATTAACTTTTTAATTATATGCGTTTTTAACACGCTTCATAAAACAATAAGAAATGTAAAGTGCTTAAAACTACTCTATTTGTAAATAACAAACCACATTAATTCCGACCTCGAGATGCACTAAAATTTTTAATTAGGTTTTTCAAAATGTCTCGCGGCCTGGATCAAAATTCGTACCGGGCCGGATCTGGCCCCCGGGCCGGATGTTGCTCACATCTGCTCTAAACGTATACAAACTAAGTATCTACCGTAACTTATTATTTATGCTTAAACTTAAAAATGAAATTGTTCCAAATTTCTCTCTAGTTAATCATAAGTATGAAACTAGCTACTCAATAAGTAATTACAACATTCGACATCACAATTACTGCATTCGACTGGCAGCACAAAAAAAATCTGACTTCTCAATTATGTGTCGGGAACCAGGTTTATGGAACTCGGTTCTTGACGAAAATATGAAAACAAAACAAAATCTATTGATATAATTAAAAGAACTATTATATAAAACACATACTAAATTTAAACAATACATACACTCCATCATTTTTTTAAAAAAAGTATCTTATTTTATGATATATCTTCTTATTGTTTTTGATTGTCTGTTTTAATTTTGTTTGAAAATATAAATATATCAATTTAAACCTTCACAATTTTTTGAATCTTCTTAAATTCTGATATAAATATTTGAAAGAGTATATATTATATACTACGTACTGTGTTGATTATGTAAACTTATATATACGTACTGTATTGATTATGTAAACGTACCGCACGGTCGTTTAGATATTAGTAAAAAGCGCTGTTTAGGTGCGCATGCGTAAGAAAATACGAAAAACTTTAAACTTTTAAAATGGCTACGGTTCTTAACTGCAGAGAATATTTTATATGGCAACAAATTATTTGTTAATTAATTTCTGAAAAGCCAATGATGAAGCCTTATTTTTAACGTAAATCAATATAATAATACAAAAATTTCACAAAAATATAAATAAATAGATGTAACAAAAATCTTTGCGCTCTAAAACTTTATTTTTATTTAATACTTTTTTAGTGTAAATCATAGATTTGTTTATTTATTTGAAATCAATTTTCTAAAAATCTGACTGTAGGATTTCAATAATTTTTTTTTTAAACTTCAGATAAATATGTTCTATATTTATGATATTTTTTTATATCTGTTTCCTATATATATTCCTATATATAGGTTTCCTATATATATTCCTATATATAGGAAACAGATATATATATATATATTCCTATATATATATCTGTTTCCTATATATATTCAATTTTCTAAAAATCTGACTGTAGGATTTCAATAATTTTTTTTTTAAACTTCAGATAAATATGTTCTATATTTATGATATTTTTTTATATCTGTTTCCTATATATATTCCTATATATCATGGGCGCCCGCAAGGGGGGGGGGCAAGAAGGGGACCCCCCCTGTATTTTCTGAATATAGAAAAAAAATTTATATCTTACATATCTTGATTTTTACATAATAGATAACAGGAAAAAAAGCAATAACAAAAAATGTTTTGCCCCCCCTCCTTTGAAAATTTTCTGCGGGCGCCTATGCTATATATCAAAGTGCAATATCATTAATTATTTTGTATAGATGAATTTCAATGTTTACATTTCCGTCACATGCGCACTAGGTGTCAGGAATTTAAAAACCGATTTGCAAACATTGAGAACGGTTATTAAACAAACATTGATATAAATAATCTGCTTGCTAACTTAATTAGATTAAAGTTTTTTTTAAATTCTTAAAATATAATGCCTGACAGTTGTTGTGCTATAGGGTGTATGAATAAAAGGATAAAAGGCGATAAAAACTTGAGTTTTTACCGCATTCCTTTTGGAAATACAGAAACATCAAAAAACAGAAGAGTTTTATGGTTGCAAGCCTTAAAACGTTAAAACTGGCCATTAAGTATGATTGATAACGCAAGATTATGTAGTAAACATTTTATTTCAGGTATTTAATTTTTTTTTTTTCTTTTGATAACTAGAAGTTTTGTTAATATTATTATTATCTTTGTTTTTATTTAATTTAACATAAGTTCATTATTTTAATAAAATAAATAAGGTTTTAATTTTTTTTCTTCTCTATTTTTAAGCAAAAAATCAGACAATCCTAATAGTCCTGACTATGTTCCATCTGTTTTTTTATACAGACAGCAATCTTTTTCAAAAAAACATCAAAGTATTGAAAGATTTGAAAGAAGTTGTAAAAGAACAAAAAAAAAATACTGAAGATAATTTATCTCAAACAAGAGCTGAAAATGAACAGATGTCAGTTAATATGGATGCAGTAACATCAGTCGACCCTTTCAAATTAAATCAAGGTAAATAAGTTTTAATTTAATTTTAAGATTTTACTTTCGTTCTTTGATAAAATAAATGGTTACATAATTATGTTTTTAGAATCTCAGACTGATGATGTTAATTTTGTTGCTGAGCTACATTCTAAAGTCAAAACTTTGAGTAAAAATAATGTTGAATTAAAGGTTGTGATAAACAAAGCTATAACATCATCTGTTTCTCAATATATTTCGTTTGAAAAACAAAAAGATGATAATTCACTTTTATCTTTTTATACTGGTTTGCCAAATGCAAATTTATTTTTGTGGTATTTATCATTGTTTAATGATTGTGTAAAACCAATGAAAAATATACCAATGGAAGACCATTTATTGCTAATATTAATGAAAATCAAACTTGGATTTTTAAATAAAGACTTAAGCTTTAGATTTGGTTTTTTTGAGCCAACAGTCACTAGAATATATAGATCTTGGCTTCCAATTATTGCTGAAAATGTTAAGTTTTTAATTGTTTGGTCAGAAAAGCATGTTTTGCGAAGAAATTTGCCAACAAGTTTTCGCAAAAAGTTCTATAATTGTCTCAAGTACTCTCGAGTCCTTAATACAAGGGGAAGGGGGTGGTTAGTCAAGATCTAATAAAAGTAGGGGGTGAGAATTTATACTAAAAGTTTCATTATTTATTAGTTACTAGTATATATTTTGTAAATTTTAAGGCCAATTTTCACTGAATTATTTTTTTTAGTTTCGATAGTTTTAGAAATTTTTTGTTGATAACAAGTGAAAATTAATAAACAGAGTGGTCTTAATAAGCTTAAGGTAGGTGGGAAAGTTTTCAAAAATTTAATAAAAATCCCCCCTACCCTTCTAATGAAGACTCGAGAGTAGTAAATTTTATATTACTAAATAATAAGAATTGTTAACAGTTTATTGATTTTTTATTTCTGAAAAAAGTGCCAAAATGTCGTTGACAAAGTAAGATATTTAATAAATATAATATATCCTTTAGTTTATTTATATGCATTCCTTGCAGAACCATTTACCTTCAGGGGCATTTTTTATTTCAATACAACTGTAATGAAACCATCCTATTTTGCAGTTTTTTCCGTCGCATCCAATCATTGGTGTAAAACTTGGGCGTTTGCAAATGCAGTATGTTTGATCGCTCAAAAGGTTGTTAGGATCATTTTTTCTAGACACTATTTCAGGTAGTAAAAATTTAAAAAATATTATTGTCAACTTTGTTTCCAGTTTTTCACAAAAGACCCTATCAATCGGAACATTAATTAACATTGTATCGTTTTCAAATGTAAAAATGGCAGTATGTAGTATTAGTAATATACATTTCTTGCTGCACTTGAAAGTAATACTGGTGTGTTTTCTTTACGGTATTGTCAAAATTTACAGGAAAATCCGTATCTGTTTTCCAATTTTCTAACCCATTTCTATACTTATATGGACACTTAATTTCCACTACACCGTAACCATGACAACACACCATACTATCAGGTGAAGCACCAAGATCACAACACACTATACTATCAGGTGAAGCACCAAGAAATGGATTTTTGTGAAGAACATGCAATCCAATTTCTGTAACAACTATATTTGTATGTGTTTTCGCGACTAATTGCTTGTAAGAATTTATTGCTACAGTCTCCATTTTCTTACCATAACTCGTAGGTTTTGTAATGAATTCTGCGTTGTATTGCATCACTGTGTTTATAAACGACTTAGGGTATTTATCAACTTTTATGTTGTACGCAGTTTTTGATAACGATGCTGTTATTCTACCTGCCCTGTGCAACTTCTAGATTCTACTAGCGCTTTGAATCTTTTTAACTTTAAGTAAATTGCTGTACATGTTAACACTTTGAGTGATATTGTACTCCTCGTATGATTTTGCGCAATATTTTGTTAAGGTGGAATCATCTAAATTAATTGATGCAGGCAAATATAGTGAAGTAAGTGGTTCCGGCAAATTACATTCATTGTAACTGTCATCCTCCTCCGCAGTATCTGTATCACTGCAATGTTCTTTGCTTTCATTATTAATGTCTACAGACTGAAGAACAGCAGCATTCTTATACAATTTTTTTAGTTCTAGCAACTTTTTTTTTTTACTATCTGAAGTTGGTGTATGATCCTTAAAGCTGTAAAGTCTTTCATCCTGTGAGTTTTCATTGTCACTAATATTTGGAAGAGTTTCACGCTTCTTTGGTCGGGAAAAATTTTTTTTTTTTAGTGGGGCTGGGGTTGCTGATTTGCCTGATTTTTTCCAACTGCACAATGTGCTTGTGCAAGATATTTTATTTAAACCGAGCTGTGCACACGCAACAAGCTTAAACAACAAAGCACCGATGTGACTACACACAGAGCCCAATCTATAATTTTAAAAATGTATAACCAATTAAACTTCTTAAAATACTTGTTTAAAATAAAATGAGAATTAAATTATTTAACTAATGTACTTACCCTGCCATGCATTTGCAATTTGCCGTTAAAATCCACCCATTAACTTTATTTATTGCAATCCACACTTCGTAACATTTCTGCTTCTTTCCTTGTCTATGACTTGGAAGCACCTTTAATAAATTAAAAGTCGAATAAATAAGTAAAAACGTATATCATTTTACATTTTACTCAAAATAAATTTTATGGTTTTAACTTTTCAAACACTTTTTTTTTGCCACTTTGACGGTGAACTTTACTTTGTAATATGCAAAATTACCTCAGATTTAATGAAACAAAATTCATTCGTTTCTTCAATTAAATTATAGTATACATCTTGAACATGCCCACTAATGTAAAAGTTGTACAATTCCAATGATTTATAGGCTTTCATTGAATCGTGTGTAAAGTTATTTGGGGAGTTAATAAGGTAATTGTACATGTCACCCCATGTAATGTCGGGCATTATTGAAACGTCATTTTTCCAATTTTCAAGTACGAAAGGGTCAGGGAGTAACATTCCATTTGACAAAGTTAATTTTTTTTATGTGCATTTTTATTGTTTTCTTCTAAAGTTAAAAAGTAAAAAATGAATTTTATTAACTAAAAAAGAAAAATGTCAATTTTTACCAATTTTTGGCAATATTTTTTTATCGATAAGTTTTTTATAATATATTTATCACATTTGAAATTTTCATTATTTCGCTTAATTTGAGACGAAATGTCATAATACACTTTTATAGATTTTTTAAATTGATAATATTAGGAACTATATGTTTAAGGGACTCCAAAAATTCTTATTCCTTCAAAAAATTTATAAAACCAGTTTTTTATCATATAAAACACATTAGGAGGTGGCAGCTATATATTTTTTAAATATTGTTTTTTGGGACGACCTTATAAGTATGAAGTATTTATCATCAAAAAGAAATGTGAACAATTTTACTATTATGCTCTTACTGAAATTAAAAATATTAGGTAACTTTAATAAAATTAATAATAAATAATAACATATAGCTAAATAAATTTTAAAAAATATCTTACTAATAAAAAAGCTGATAACAATACAGTGCACTTACGGTTTCAATCATATGTTGAATTAAAAAGCCACATAAAATAAAAATTGCTTATATTGTATTTTGATAATAAACTCTTTTTATGTTACTTTTACCTGCAGTACCCAAAATCAGCTAAATTGCTAATATTTGTTTGTAATATATATATATATATATATATATATATATATATATATATATATATATATATATATATATATATATATATATATATATATATATATATATATATACATATATATATATATATATATATTTGTTTGTAAAATATATATATATATATATATATATATATATATATATATATATATATATATATTATATATATATATATAAATATAAATATATATATATATATATATATTTAATTATTCACCTCTACACTGACTAAAGTTGAGGAGACTACTTTTGTAGTTACAACCCTTTCTATAACTCAAAAACATAAACCTCAACAAACAAGGCCGCTGCACAAGAAGCAAGTTGACAAACATGTTTATTATCACAACTATAATGCAAGTAACAAAGAAAAATCAAAACTAATTTTTTAGTACCAAAAATTTCGTTCTTATATTTTAAATATTAGTAATTTAGCTGATTCCTGATACTGGATGCAACAATAAAATATATAAACAATATAAATAATACATACATATATATATATATATATACATATAAATATATATATATATATTTATATATTTATATAAATATATATATATATATATATATATATATATATATATATATATATATATATATATATATATATATATATATATATATATATATATATATATATATATATATATATATATATATATATATATATATATATATATATATATATATATATATATATATATATATATATATATATATATATATATATATATATATATATATATATATATGTATATATATATATATATATATATATATATATATATATATATATATATATATATATATATATATATATATATATATATATATATATATATATATGTATATATTAGGGTGGGTCATAAAATTTTTTTTTAGAGTTGCTAACCCGGCTATGGTCTAGAAAGTTGTTTTTTTATGTACTATTTAGGGAAGTATTTACTTTTATGAATTAAACAATGCCTTCCACCCGCAACTATAATTACAAAAATTAGCAGGGCCTATTACTATTGTAATAAATTGTAAATGTTTTTTAGGATTTGTCAATGAAATCTTGAAATGTCAAATGTTGATTATGTTTAAGTTTAATCATTTTATATATAAATTATTTTATTAAGTGTTTAATGTTTTTAAATTTTTTTATTTTATATATAAGTTTTAATAATCTATTACCTAATGCTCGTTGAAAATTATAAAAAAATTCTTTTTTAAATTATTATTTTAAATAATTGTAAATATTAATGCTAAATATTTTCAATTATTTAAAATAAGAAATCTTATTTTTAACATTTATTTCAATTTTTTAAAGCTTTCGCTTTTTTAATTCTTTTTTTGTACCAAATAATTTAACTTGGCAAAAACAAATTCAATGTTAGTTATGGAATTGCACCTTACTACAGAGGCTTTTTAAAAATACAAATCTGTGTATCAGACTGTTGCCATCAGGCTGGCTGTTTGTTATGTTGAAAGTTTGAACAAAGTTATTCAAATGGTTTATCTGGTTTGGATTTATCTAAACAAGTACAACACCCTATGCATGGTTCTAATGTGAACTGGAAGTTTCTCAGGGAAATGCAATTGGAAAGAGACGAAGCTGGTTTGAGTTAATTTGTAAACATTGTCATCAAAGAAATATAGTCAAATATAATAAAGATAATTAGTTTCCAGCAGAACCTATTATCTTTTAAAAGGCCATCGTCAAAGAGCTGTTTGGTTGTAAAAAAGCGGAGTTACAGATGTCTTTTAGTATAAAAGCTTTTATTTATCTACTATATCACACCTTTTGCAGCCAGAAAATCTGAAAAAAATATCAAACAGATGATTCTATGTTGTCTTTTCTTGGCAAGGACCTAGAGATGCTGCATAGATCCCTAATTCAGTTGGTTGTTAAAACTGATATTTTCCTCAAATGTTATTCTGTTCTTAACTTATTAGAGCTTGATATTACTTATAAAGGTATTTATCTAGAGATAAAAGATATTCATTTAGATTTTCAACTTGAGAAAAACTTCAGAATTTATTACGATAAAGTATCAAGATAAAATGAAATGTGCAAAAGTTAAAAAAGGACGCTGCAAATATGGTAATTTTTTTATTGGAGAAAATCACTCGAAAAAGTTTATTACATCATTGGTACGAATTGCAAATGTGTTTGATTCAAATTCCTGTATATGACCAATCCAATCAATAGATCCAAATTCTGTATGCAACTAGTCAAATTACGAAGCAAGATGAAACAACTCTTGACTCATTGAAGATTATTAATGCAACTTTAGCAGAGAAAGTTTTGCCACAATATTCAGTTCTGTGGGAAGTGTT